AAAGTTTCACTAGTGTGTTAATGTGGCTACTTGGGTGCAGGAAGCTGTATCCATCTTTTTATCTGTAAATACCTGAATTAGAAAGTACAAGTCATATTTTATTTGTAAACTGGTGTTACTACCTCTAGATAAAGCCATCAGAATGGCTATTCTCTGACATATCAATACAGCTATCAAAACGTTGACACTCAGTCACTAAAACCACACTCATAGGAAGTAAAATTTGTTACTTTCACTGAGATAGAAGTTGTCAAGAAACGTAAGAGCGATCTGACACACTATAACAGATATGTTTCAAGTATGATTGGGCTATATACTTCAAATAGAATTAGAAAAGTATCTATAAACGCAGCTGTATTGTGACACTTCAACCAAAACGTATATACTTCATCTGGCATTGCAAAGGAAATCAAACTCACCTAACACCAAATGAAGAAATACTGTGAAGACAGCGACACGTCTAAAAAGTGCGAGATCGAATTTTATCGCCATGAACGTGTGTTTCTGTTACAATCACAAGACGCCTGACGGATTAAAAACAGCAGAACAGTGCTAAATACTGTAATAATGACGTAGGCAAAATAGAGGCCCGTCCTAAACAAAACGCTGATATCCAAAAAGGCTTGGAATCCGGTATACAACAATACTTATGAGTTAGGGGAAAACGGAAACCTTTTTTTCTCTATTTTTCCAAAAAAAGGGAGGTCTGTCAAAATTACAATTAACAAGTTTAATAAATTTTTAACGTTTGTTTTGCTGACAGTTACATTCTTGTCAAAGATCTGTTGAAACAAAAACATCCGGCTCTTCAACTCCCATCAGGATAGCTTTTGCAAGTCAAACCAATCCTCTCTGTACTCGCACCTTTTCAGTGAAGACTTCGAAACCCAAGAAGCACTGGAAGATGCTGTAGCACTGCAAAAAATCATTTTTAAATCCCCTTCAGTTAAGCAAAGAAAATATAGTAAATTGTTCAGCAGCGATTAGCATTTCACAAGCAGTTGACAACCTGACATACGTGTTCTTACATCGGCGCCACGAACTACTTCAGACAGTCAACCCCACTGAAAACATTTGAATCAGAACACAGTCGAAGGCCCGGGACATTGCTGGTAGTGGACTATCCTATTCCAATCTCAGGGCCTTTTACTTAAAGTCGGGCAAAAAGGGATTGTTGGCAATCCTGAGGATGCCTTCCAGTCAGTGTTTATGAAAGCTGCCTCGTGTAACCCATACAAAGCGAATTCTTGCTGCCATCTTAAATCACTTTCACGAGACAACAGCTCGCGAAGAATGGCCACTTCAGTTGTATAAATAGGTAAAATGTAGCTGTGTTTCAGCCAGTAGTGTAAGTTTAACCTGGTTAATTATCTAACATTCGATTCGTTAAGTATTCTTGGACTAAGAAACGTTCTGAAATCACATGTTCGATGCTCGTTTGCTTATGCAAACCTTCGTAGACTGACGAATCGTGTCGTGATAGCCACAGAATCGTGAGCAAAATTAGGAAGTCAAGAAGTCAAACGTTCCACAGTCTTTGCAAAGCTTGCTTTGTTTAGGTAATTTTTCACATTCATATTTAAAATTTTATGCTTCCCTTTAACACCGTGTTCAATCACGACTTTGAACAGTTTCGTTGAGGTTTCTCTACCATGGAGGAGCAAATTTCAAGAGACCGAAGTGTTTCAAAGTGTTTCGTTTACGATGCACTTTCATACTCCTTGTCGATCTTTAATTTTGAGGTGGCTGCAATCTTCTACATTGTAGGAGACGTTGAGATATTAAATCAGCGATGAAATCTAACCCTATACGGTTCTGTCGTGGAAAAAAATTTGTCAAAGTAATGTTGTCAACATGTACATGTATTTAAGTTATATAGCTAAAATGTACTTACTTACTTAATCCTTTTCATCCCCTGTGAGACATAAGACAACAACAATCCCTCTAAATTTATCCCTATTTTGTGTGACATGTTGTGCCTCACCCCAAGTGAATTCTACCTAACTGAGATCAGTCATGACAGTTCGGCGCCAGGTGGTTTTTGGCCGACCTGGTTTCCTTTTGCCAGGTGGTGTCCATTACAAGGCAATCCTAGCTTGGGAATAAGAGACTGACTCATTCTAAGTAGGTGGCCCAGCCATCGGATTTGTCTACGTTTAATGTCCACGACAACACTCTAGCAACCAGTTTTCCTGTAAAGCTCCCGAGATCTTATTTGAGTAGAAGATGTGGCAAATTTTTCGGAGACACCCATTGTGGAAGGATTCAAGTTTACTCATGTGCGACTTTATGACACGCCAGCACTCAGACCCATGCAGACTGCAGGACAGATTTCACATTGTTGTTATACAGTCGGACCTTGGTCTTGAGACTGTACTGGTTTGACTTCCAGATGGGATGAAGTTCGGGCAAATGCACCGCGAGCTTCGCCAAGCCTAGCTTTGGTGTCCTTTTGTGCCCCATTGTCTTTACTGATAAGACTGCCCAGGTATGTAAAGTCCTCCACAAACTCACGTGACTCACCACTGACTGTTATCGGTGCAGTCGGGGTAGCAGTGCCACATTGCTTGAGTCTTGGTTGTGTTGATATTAAGACCTGTTTGCTTAATATAGGTTTCCAGTCTAGCAGTCTTCTCTCGTAAGTTGGAATGGTTTGTGGAGAGAAGAGCGAGGTCATCAGCAAACTCGAGGTCTTCTAGGTGAGAAAACAAGCTCCATTGGATGCCTCTGGGTTTGTCTGAGGTGGTCTTCCTCATGGACCAGTCAATGATGACAAAGAAGAGGATGGGCAAACGGATACACCCCTGCCTCACTTCAGACTTCACTGGGAACCACTCAGAGAGAGTAGTATCATCCAAGATGTCGCTGCATTCAAGTGATCGTAGAATTTCTCAATCACGGTGACAATCTTAGCTGGAACTCCATATGAATGCAGAATCTTCCACAGAGTTGCCCGGTGCACACTGTCGAATGCCGTCGTGAAGTCAATAAAGTTAGTAAACAAAGATGTGTTCCACTCTAAGCACTGCTCGATGATTTTCCGCAGCGAAAGTTTGTTCAATCAAGAGAAAATGGTTCAATACATCCTCTACTTTTCGTAAACCTTGCTTGCTTCTGCCTCAGCTTGCTTTCAATAGCTGCCTCGATCTTCACCAGAAGAATTCTACAGAAAATTTTTCTACATGTAGGGACAGATAGAAACGAGTTATCCCTCGCTAGCTGTTGCAATTGTGAAGATCCCCTTTCTCTGATAGTTTGACAATAAGGCCTTTTGTCCAGTCAGCTGGGATGTTATCCTTGGTCCAGATGGTTGTGAAGAGGTCAGTCAGAATTTTTGTAGATGTATCAATGTCAGCTTTCAGCATCTCAGCATGGATGGAGTCAATCCCAGAAGCTTTCCACTCTTTATGGCTTTGATGGCAGCTCTACCTTCAGCTTCGGTGAGTGGGTTGGTGTTAATTTGAAGGACGTCTTCAGCTGGTGGAGGGTTGACTGGTTCATCTGGTTCTGGAGTGTTAGGCACCTCTTGCGAGTGCTGTACCCATCTGGTTGCTTGTTTACGTTCTGTTGTTAAAGCATTGCCATTCTTATCTTTGACAGGGGCAGTTTGGTTGGTGTTGTTACCACAAACGCGCTTAGCGATCTTGTAGAGGACACTCATCTAACCCCCGACAGCCCCTTGTACAGCTTCATCAGCGAGCTTCTCTATATAGGACCTCTTAATCAACTTGTTCTTAAACTGTTTTCTTTCATCTATCTTCTGCCATGTACCAGGTGTTAGCCATGCTTTGACCTTGTTCTGTCTGTAGCCCACAACATGCTTTGTAGTTTCAAAGCATGGTTGTCAATGGTACTCCATTTACGGTTAACGTCGCGGTCTTCTTCCTCAGTTACGGTAGAAAGCAAGCTAAAATGATTCCTCAGTTCCAAAACAAAGTCATCTTTGTTGGTGTTGGTACACTTATAAGTTTGGTGATGTTTAGCTGTTTCCTGTATTGACCCTTTGGTATTGCTCTCCGAAGCTTCAGTTTGATAGTTGCCGTAAGTAATTACCTACATTTTTTTCAATAAAGGTAAAAAACTTTTTAACGTTTTGTTTTTATATAGCTAAAAAGTATTTTACCTTTACTGAAGTACATGCAGGTAATTGTTTCTATAATTATATTTCGATAGACTGAAACGCTCATTTGTTACAAGAACTCGACAGAGATGTTGAAATATTTATGGGTTTTCTCACTCCTCCCCCCCCCCAAACATCCAACCTGTACGGAGTAGGGAAAGATAAAACAAATTTAAACACAAATTAGTCTTTTTCTTTTTTCTTTTTGGTAAATTAGTCTCAAACGGCTGTAAAAATGTTTAATCATTTGCAACAGACTCCCTATGGAAACAAGGATATGATTCTTTTCTTTTTCGGGATATTCAAAGGTGATTATTTATAATATATAGATGGTTACGTGATCAGTTGCGGTAGTAAATTTCATCCTCCTGATTACTCTTCCCAGGGCTATATCATATCCTGCATTGTAATATGCAGAAGACAAATTTGCGCCCTGTAATGACTGATAATTTTGAGTTGCTTGTGGCAGCTCTTCCAAAGGCCCGGGTTTGAGTTCCATGTAAGAAAGTTCTTCTGGTATATGCTGGTCACGTCTTGAGCCATGTCGCTCAACTTCATCAGAGGTGTCCCTCTGTGGCGTCTTTTCTCTCTTATTATTTCCAGCTCGTCTAAAGCGCCATGTCAGCAGGCTAACTGCAATAAGCAGCACCAAAACAAGGCAGGACAAAGCGATGACAATGACAAGGTAGATATTGGAAAAACCTGGAAAACGTTCAAAAAAAGCAAAGAAAAAGACAGTAAGAGTATTGTCATGAGTTTCGCAGGTTTGCCACAGGTTATGAAATGTTCTGGAGAAAAATTCATTCCTCGTGAAGAAAAGTGAAGGAAAATTGAAATAATTTAACACGGCTGATTAAACACCATTGAAGGCTGGAAAAAATTAATTTGGGGTAACTGTGATCTTGACGATTTTTTTTTTTATTAGATTTAATGAAAAAGGAAAATTTGCTGAAAACTTGTCAGTCATAATGATGGCTGTCATTGGAGGTTAGAATCCGCTACTTTGTCTGACATTTTATATTTATTTGGTTAGGGAAGTTTTTCTTTTTTATTTAAACCAAGGAAAAGTCAGGGACTTTTGAAGTGATGCACGTGGCAACCATGTTTAGATCAGAAACGAATACATATTTCTTTCAAGGCTTGGTTGTTCTTAGGTCTTTTGATTCGTAAAAAAAATCGCGCTTCTTTACTGGCGTCTTGATGAAAAGTCTGATGACACTGAGCAAGGTACATTGTTTACATTGCTAGAACGTTGAAATTTCCGTTGGTTATGTTGTATTTTAAAAGTTACCTCTCCAAGGATTGACAAACCATGATAGAATCTACCAAGCAATATTCTACCCACTAGCAATCACGTGTTGTTTTTATCATACACCAACAGTCAGTGGCCAAGGTTACCCAGGTGTTTGCACGATGGCATTAGAATGCAAAGAAACAAATAATCAAACAAACAAGCATACAAGTAAAATGCACTCACTGTCATCTCCCTTTGTAGTTGCTTTAGTCGATGACTTTCGGTCTTCAGTTAAGGTTATTTCGGAAGTTGTAGTACCAAAGCTGTTTGAAGCGTTGCACACGTACGCCCCATAGTCCTTTGCACCGCGAGGAGTGATGAAAATGTTATTGTTTATAGCCTTGATGTCGTCATTAATTGGATCCGGTCCATTCTTTGTCCAAGAGTAACTAACTGGAGAGTCACTGATTGCATAGCAACAAAAACAACACAGCGTGTGCTCTTCACATATCACGGAAGTTGGTGAAACGTCCTTCATTATTCTGGGGGGGGGGGGGGGGG